GGGGGGGGGGGGGGGGGGGGGGGACGACGACCCAGAGGGACAAAGGATTCCCACCTTATTCAAAAGAGATATAAGTGGGTGGAACATAGGGTTACTATCCGTCCGGGTTTCCCCGGACATGTCCGGCTTTTTTAGCTTTAAATGGCCTCCGGGGGGGATTTCCGGGCGTGTCTGGCTCAGCAAGACAGGGTGCTGGGGTCCCAGGCTGGCAGGGAAAGCAGGGGCAGAAGTAGTCTTGGCCCATCAGTTGGCAGTTGGGTTTTTGTGATCCAACCCATCACACAGGGAGCCCCAGGCGGGATCAGCCCCCACGCGGGGGGCAGCAGCCCAGCCCCTACCTGTAGCTGTCGTAGGTGGCGACCTGCGGCTCGTATTCCTTGGCCCGCCTGCCAATGGTGTCCAGCGTGGCCGTGACGTTCCCCAGCGTGTCCAGCACCGGGATCTCACTCCGCACCCCACCAATCTTCCGCCTGACCTCAGCCAGCTGGCTCCGTGCGTCTGTGGGGGACAGGGACGGGCACGTCAGGGACACACAGGCACTGACGGCTGCTCCCGTAGCCTCCTGGGGCCCAAGCTCCAGCTCCCCCTGCACAACGCACGGGGCAGACGCAGCCCGCGGTGGACAGATCTGAGGGGGCAGCAGGTGGAGAGAGCCTGAGAACGGGAGAGCTGTGCTGATTGGACAAGGGAGAACATGGCGGGGGGCAGAGGGGAGAGCAAAGACCCACTGTCACGGAGTATTGGGGGACTCAGGGCCCCGCACCCCCGGCTTCCTGCGATTCACCATGACTCTCAGCCAGCCAGTAAAGCAGAAGGTTTATTTGGATGACAGGAATACAGTCCAAGACAGGTCTTGCAGGCACAGACAACAGGACCCCCTCAGTTAAGTCCAGCTTGGGGTCCCAGGGCATTCCAGCCCACCCCCCTTCGGGGGGGTCAGAGCCATCTCTGTCTCCCAGCCATCTCTCCAGCTTGCTTCCAGCACTCTGCCTTCAGCGACCCCTCCCACCGCCTTTGTTCAGTTTCCCGGGCTCAGGAGTCACCTGGCCTTCCACCCCTTCCTGGGTTCTCATGTTACACACTCAGGTATGCGCCCTCGGGCAGATCCCATCCTCCAATGCAGACTATCCCAGCCCCACTCCCCTGTCAGCATTCACAGACCACAGTGAGAACAGGCCCAGTTCGTCACACCCACTTCATAGGCCAAGGTGGGGCCTGGACCCCTGGCTCCGGGGAGGGACAGGCAGGGCTCCTAGGGGACAGGCAGGGCCCCGGTCATTACAGGGCCCCGTCCCAGAGCAGGGAGCTGTGGTGGCTGGGGCAGGAGAGGTCTCCCCAGAGGGAGGGGGAGGAGGTGCCCGAGGTGACCCCTTCCCGTCCCTCGCGGGCATCCCTGTATTACCAGATGGCAGCGCCACTTACCCGCCACCACCTTCTGCGCCTGCTCCTCTACCCTTCTGGGAGTCTTGTTCAGCGTCTCATTGGCCTGCCGCCCCAGACACGGACAGGGGAGAGACAGACAGACAGACAGGCTCAGATCCCAGGCCAGGGCCCCAACGCAGAGCACTGGGCGAGGGCAAACGCACCACCCGGCCCTGCTCCAGCCCCACATGCCCCAGCACAGGGGATGGTCAGAAATACCCAGCACTGGCCAATGCCATAGGCTCAGCGCTGGCCCGGACGGGCTGCTGGGCTCTCCCCATATGGGGCGCGGTACCACGACGGAGGCACTCTCAGCCCCGCCCCAAGCAGCACTGGCAGGGCACTGGGCTGGACGGACCGTTGGCCTGCTCCAGGTCAGGTGGGGCAGATGCTCGGCTAGCACGGTGGGCATTTTCCACATGGCATCAGTGGTTTGGGTCTCCTGCCCCGCCCCAGAGCCATGGCTTGGAGACGCAGGCTGAGGGGGCATGGCTGGGTTGCTCACCCTGCCAAGCCGCACCCTGGGGCAGGGAGAGCTGGCAATGCCCCTACAGACCAGCCCCACAGGGTGCCGGTCAGAGCCACGTCCTGCTAGCCCCGCGCCACCCCCCAGTCTGTACCTGCTGCAGGGCGGCGCTCAGGTTGGCATTGGTCAGATTATTCAACAGTTCCAGCTGGCTGCTCACGTCCGGGACCTGGGGAAACAGGAGCAGATGGGTCAGACGGCAGGGCTGGCGCGTGGGGAGGAGGTGCCGGGCTGAGAGGGTGCCGGGCAGAAGCAGGGTGCTGCTGGGAGCTGGCTCTGTCTGGGCCCGGCTATGTACGTCCCAGCAGGGGTGGCAGGACGGCGCCCATGTGAGCGCACAGAGGTATGTGCACATGGGGAGGTCAGCGGGTATATTGGGGGGGGTATTTGCATGTCGGGGAGGTTTCAGTCCCTCCAACCCCATACACCCACCCAGCCCCCCATGCCAACCTGTAACCCACGCACCCATCCAGCCCCCATGCCCCCCACCCCACCCTGTGCCCCCTACAGCCCCCAGCCCCCCGTGTGCTCGCCTCACCGTGCTGAAGTCGGCGTCGGGGGCCAGGCCGCTGACGGACACCTGGGCGCAGGGCGGGTCACAGCTCTGCAGGGTCCGGTTGATCCGCTCCTGCAGGCGGCTGAGGTTCTGGGTCAGCTCCCGCTGCAGCTGCTGCAGCCGCAGGCCCGACTCGTTCACGGCTCGGAGCTCCCGATCCGCCAGGTCCGTCACTGGGGGGCGACAGCAAGGGGCTCCCACGGCTCAGTCCTCGTCCCATCTGCACCGTGCCCCAAGCCAGGGACACCCCCTGACTGTGCCACAAGGGGGACCCCCAGACACCCCCAAGATGACCCCTCAGCACCTCAGCTGGCCTGTCTCAGACCCAGGGGCGGCTCTATGGTTTTTGCCGCCCCAAGCACGGCAGTCAGGCGGCTTTCGGCAGCACATTGCGGGAGGTCCGCCGGCCCCACGCCTTCAGCGTCCCCACCGCCGAATTACCGCCAAAGCCGTGGGACCGGCGGACCTCCCACAGGCAGCCTGACGGCCACCCTCACAGCAACTGGCACGCGGCCCCCCGCGGCTTGCCGCCCCCGGCACGCACTTGCTGCGCTGGTGCCTGGAGCCGCCCCTGCTCAGATCACCTTGCTCACTCCCACCCTGCTCCGTGCTGCAGGGGTGGGGGAAGGAGTTGGGAGCAGCATCTGCCCAGGCCCTGGGGGCCACGGTGAATCGGGGGATCCCAAGGGATGGTTAATGGGGAAGTTTCTCCAGCCCAAGTCCCTGGGGCTCCTGTGATTTTCTGTGCCCCTCAGGTGTTGAGGCTGGGGGGGGGTGACATTCTATACCTTGGGGAGCGTGCTGTAACCCCCATATCATATCATCGTGATCTTACTTAGAAAGCAGCCTTGTAAGGTATCCGGGGAAAGGTTCTGATCTGCTGAAAGTCATTTCTCTCTCCATAGATGTGTATCGTTCATGCATACGACGTTATGAGAATTGTGTTTGGTTGTCACTAAAACATGCTGTGAGCTGGGGAATCGGCCAGATATTCGCTCCCCAGAGGCAACAGCAAGGAAAGTAACTAACGCCCGGGCGGGGAGTCGAACAACCCATCAGCAGCCATTGTCCAGCAAGGGAGCTACAATGAGATGACTCCCCTGCACGAGGCCCCACCGGGGGAATTGCTCAGCCTCGCTTGGAGAGACTCGGCAATGCCCCCAGACGTGCCTGGACTTGTGCTCCCCAAGCACAGGGACTGAGGGTATAAAACAGGCAGTGTGGACACATACTGGGCCCTGCTCCTGCCCCCACCTCTGCTGCAAGCGACCGGGACACTGAGAAGAAGACAAGACTCCAACACAGGAGACTGGCCCAGGTTCAGGGGACAAACCTGTGTACTAAGGACGGCAACATCCAGTGGGGTGAGAAACTGCGTCATCTACTTGCTGCCCAGTCTAATAGGGCGGAGAGTTTCGGCTGCCAGCTTATGTTGTATTTTCTTTTGGTACCACTCTGACTTTTTGCCAATCACTTACAATCTAGCTTTGTCGTTAATAAATCTGTTGGTTTATTCTACTGAAGCAGTGCGTCTGGTTTGAAGTGTGTCAGACTCCCCTTGGGATAACGTGCCTGGCACATATCAATTTCTTTGTTAAATTGATGAACTCATATAAGCTTGCAGCGTCCAGCGGGCACAACTGGACACTGCAAGACGGAAGTTCCTAGGGTTGTGTCTGGGACTGGAGATATCGGCTAGTGTAATTCGGTCACACAATCCAAGGAGCAGTTTACACGCCAGAGGCTGTGCGTGAACAGCCCAGGGGTGAGGGTTCTCACAGCAGAGCAGGGTAAGGCTGGCTCCCAGAGTCGAGGGTCGGAGTGACCTAGCAGATCACCGGTCCGGATAACACCAGAGGGGAACGTCACAGGTGGTTACGCTGCCCCCCACTGCATAGTGTGCCCCCTGGCACCGCCCCGAGCCCTCGCAGCTTTCCCACCAAACACCCCCAGGGTTACTCTGTCCTCCACCCACTCGCCGTAGGGGCTTGTTCCCCCCAGTGTCTGGGGGAGCCCCCAGCCCATGCCTGCCCCCCTCAGCCCCAAGGCCGGTACCTTCCAGCAGGCGCGTGGCGGAGGCCAGCGCCCCGTACGCCTCCTCTCCCACCTCGGAGATGATCCTGCCGCCCAGGATGGGCCCGATGTCTGCGAAGAAGGGGGCATCGCTGTTACCTCGGGCACACCCAGACGCACAGCCACCAGGGAGGGCTCCAAACCCCGAGCCCCTGTCTGGCCCGGAGAGTTCACTCCCCGCCCCACCTGCCCCCCAACATGGGCACACGGGGGAGCGGGCAGCGGGCGCAGAACAGGCTGGCCACGGAGCCCATGTCATGCTACGGTCCCTTGAGAGGAAGTGGATAAAGCTACTGGCTGGGAGCCAGGACTCCTGGGTTCCTTACCCCTCTGCCACTGCCCTGCTGGGTGCCCAGGGCCGGCTCCAGGCACCAGCTTGCCAAGCAGGTGCTTGGGGCGGCCGCTCCGGAGAGGGGCGGCACATCCAGCTATTCGGCGGACGGTCCCCCACTCCCGCTCGGAGCGAAGGACCTCCCGCCGAATTGCCGCTGCAGATCGCCATCGCGGCTTTTTTTTTTTTTTTGCGCTGCTTGGGGCGGCCAAAACCCTGGAGCCGGCCCTGTGGGTGCCCATGGGCAGGTGTGGCAGGGAGAGTGACCCTGGCTGGGCTGGAGGGGGCTGTGCCATGGCAGGGGGTGGGATGAGAAAGCACCCAAGAGGGAGAGGAGGAAAGGGGAGGGGCAGGTGGGCAAGAGCCTGGAAGCCCGGAGGGGGCCCAGTGCAGGTGGCCAGCCAGTGCCCCCTGCAGCCAGGAACGGGCTCCTGGGGCCCAAGGGTGTTGGGCTCCATACTGGGGCCGTACAGGCAGGGAGCAGAGCCCCGTGCAACCCACCCCCCGCCAGGGCTCTGAGCGCTGGGGCAGGGCATCCCCAAGGGCTAGCCCAGGCAGGCCACGCATCCCCATCCCCCCCGCCCTGGAGACAGGTCCCCAGAGCCATGCCACGCTCTGGGCCCAAACAGTCACCCGCCCCGGAGCCAGGTATCTGGGGCCACGCCCTCCCCTGGCCCCCACACCCCCGGACCCCCCAGCCCCCCGTGCACAGACTCACTCTGGAGACTGCCGTTGGCCCGGCTCACCGGCACGTCGCTGGAGGCGATGATGAAATCCACTTGCTGCAGAGACAAGGAAAAGGGGGGTAAATACGGGCCTGGCTGCAGAGGGGGCTCCCGCGCCCACAGGGGGACAGCACCATACCCAGCAGCAATGGACTAACTCAGGGGACTGCGTGGGTCACTCCAGGGCAGGCCCCTGGCATCCCCGCCCTGTGCAGACCCTGGGATCCAGTCTTGGCCCACGGGATGGGCGGGGCTGGGGGGCTCCGGCAGGCAGGTGAGCAGCGGGGGCACTGCACGTACCTGGGGGATGGAGCGGACGAAGGTGCCCAGGTTGTCCAGCGTGGTGTTGAGGGCACCAAAGCTGCCGTTCACGGCGCGGGAGACGCGGTTGTTACTGATGAAAGCGCAGATGTTCCCAGCCCTGGGACAAGGAGAAAAGGGGGTGGGGGCGGCATCAGCACACGGAGACCTGGGGGGCCCTTAGCTATGTGCACTGAGCCCCCAGACTGTCCATGCACAGCGGGGCCGGCTCACAGCCACTGGCCTCATGCTCAGAGTCAGGACTCCTGGGCTCTGCCAGGGCCTCGCTGCCCCTCCCCATGCCTCAGTTTCCCCCCCAGTGAGGTCCACCGTTGGAGGGTGAGGGGGCATAACTAACAAGCCAGCGTAAAGCGCGGCTCGCAATGAATGTGCCAGCCCTGCAGCTTCGTCCCGATCCCAGGTCCATGGTCACCCCACTGACCCCTCTTTCCTCAGGGTGACAACGGCACCATCACAAACCCAGGAGGTCACCAAGCTGCACACACTGAGCCTGTGAGCTTCACTGCCACAGCAGGGGTCGATCCCTGGCCCCTATGTAGATAAATCTCTGATAATTTTCATATGACTTTACATTGTGCCTCTTCATATAACCTTGTGGTGGGTCTACCCACGTGTGACCTCTGTTTTCAAGGGACTTTGTATCAAAGCCTCATTTAGAAACTTTGCATTGCCCTTGGTATAATATTATAGCCCCTAAGGATAAAATAAGATAGAAGAAAAATTTCTTTTTGCTAGCAGTAGAACAAGAGCTCTCCCCCACCCCCTCTTAATCAATTGCCCTGTTGAATGAATGAGGTGTGGATGAGCAAGGCATGGAAGGCAGCACCTCCAGACAGCCTCAACTGTTGGAGAGGGGCTGGGAGCCAGACCCAAGGACAATAAAACGTGTCAAGTGGGCTCATTAAAAACAAGCAGACATACTGACGGCCTCGGGGGTTAGAAGCAAGCACCTTCTTTTGGAAACACCCTCTTTGCAGCATTGGGACAACACTCAAAAGAAAGCAGCACAAAGGACCAATGGACACAGACACAGAGTTTGAATCTGGTATAGATTTGCATAAGAGGAAAGCTGCTATAAAAGTGAGGTGTCTTGCAGAGGACCCCGGGTCTCGTCTTGTCAACATGGGAGCATCGATCCGATTTCTTTCTGCTAGCAGTAGAACAAGAGCTCT